ATATTTGTTGATGTCTACGTATATATATAACCTCGCACATATCAATCTACGTATATGTAGTTTAGGTCTAGATTGTGGAAGGGGAACGAGTGTACGTGCATATGTGCATATGCATAAATGCTTATATTTTGTGTTTGTGTGATGTATGCGCATGCACTAGTGAAATTGGTTATAATCTGTTTGATTTAAATTTATATATGCTTTGTATATGCTTACATTGAATGATAGGATATGTGATTTTAAATTTCGAGAAATATGATTGCATCAATGATTCTAGCTTTATACGGACGCCTATGTCCTGTAATGTCGTCCATGAACATATTTACAATCCGCAAATTAGGAATATTTATTGTGTACTATATATCGTCCGTTGTATATTTCAGTTTAGTAAATCTGGCGCATCCACCTTTTACAGCTTCTAGTAGCCGCTGCTCATGACAAGGTGGATGTGCTGAAAGAGATGTGTCTTGAACACACTGATGTCGATCTGAACTGGGCCGATTTTATGGATCAGACTCCACTGCATGTAGCTGCGGCTCGGGGGTCGGCAAACGCGTGTAAATACCTTTTAGAGAATGGCGCCAATCCAAAGTATGTTTTCTGCCCTCACTGTTGACCACAGCCTCACAGGTGTTGTTGTACTGGCGTCGGTCATAGTTGAGGACTTTCGAATTTATGTTTTTTTTTTGCCATGGGCATACTATCTATTGTATTACGAGAATCTGCACACCTCTGCGTCGCTCCGTGGTACACGGTAACTATCATCGCCAAATGTTGATGTGCGATACATATCCCATATACACACTATTCGTACTGTAGCAAACACTTCACATATGACCTCCAAGACAATACATGTCTTTCAACACGTAGGTAACCTCAATACAAGAATCACTAAATAAGTTCAAATTCGGCAGCCCGGTAGACATCACATTGAATACTCCTCTGGATCTAGCCGTCGCATACTTGCAACCCGAAACGGCGAAGATTATCACTGCCAATGGAGGAATTGCATCAGCTGCCTCATCTCATGTCGTGGGTTTGTTGAACACTTGCTGTAGTGAAGGTATGCAGTTCTCTGACGATTTGGCCCTGTTTTTGGCCGAAGATCTTAGGCGCATGTCATGTGTCATTTCGATGCAGTATGCGGGAGATCCTAGTTATGGCATTCTCCTTCTTACTTATTTCACTGTCTTAAGTGAATATATACATCACAAATACACTCAAAGCGGGTGGCGCTCAATTTAATCATGCTTGCGTATATGTCAATTGTGTGAACGGAACTTGAGAGTGGTTGCGATACTTGCTCCGGAAGTTCGCCAAACTCGATGCTTGCTGCACAACCATAATTTGGCTCACATAAATCCACCTGGCGGGAACCTCAATTCGTATTCTCGACTCTACGATGTGCTAACCACATTCGACATACAACTTTACAGGTAATGTCAAGGAAGTCAAACGTCTAATCAACGAGGGCGTGCCAGTCAACTCTGCGGATTACGACCAGCGCACGCCACTGCATCTCGCAGCCAGCGAAGGTTTCCTCGAGGTAGTAAAGGCTCTTGTAGAGGCAGGGGCCGAGTTAGACTCAGTGGACAGATGGATGGGGTCTGCTCTGAGTGATGCTATCGACAACGGACATTTAGAGGTGGCCGAATACCTCATGCATGCGGGCGCAAATATTGATGCAGGGGGACAGGGAGATGTGATTCTGACGAACTTCATGAAGGAGTGCCAGAAGGGTAACATAGGTGAGAAGTTTACCACCTATATTCGGCTGCTTTGTTATTTTTATGATTGTCGCTTGTTGATATTATCTTGATCATTATGTTACTATCATTAGGTGCGATGGCAGATCATTGCACCAGGCCCATACGCAATCTGTAGGAAGCTGTATCCAATTGTTAATCGGGATCAACAACTAATATTCGATTCTTATTTTTGTTCTTCCGTCTCGATCAGAGAAAGTGAAGAAGCTCTTAGAAACAAACTATGCCAAGCCCGAATGGGTAGACCAGCATGGGAGGAGCGCCTTGCACATCGCGGCAAGTGAAGGACACATGGTCATTGTAAAGCTATTAGTTGAGTTAGGGGCTGAGATAAACTCTCGCGACAAATGGAATATGACGGCTACGGACGCTGCCGAGAGGGGCGGTTTTGATACAATTGCTGAGTTTTTGAAGGTAAGCCTTTCATTGTTCGTATGCGATGACAGTACCTTACTATTACTTTCTGGCACGCAGATAAGTGTTTGAAAGTATTTTGTTTGTGAGTTGTGATTTGTCTTGTCTTAATCTAAGTTCCTATGCTTCGTTGGAATGCGTTGAGAAATGCAATACGCTCAATTCGACACATTTTCCCCTAAGATAGCGCTTCTCGGGGTTGCTGTTTTCCACAGGATTTTTCATTTTTGCACACAATTTGCCCTTGCATATTTATAAATTCTGTTGCCAAAAGATTTTGAGGTATATATTTTGAATGCCGATTTGCGCCTTATTATCACACCTATCATATACACTTAATTCAGGACCAGGGTGGCGCCTCCTCTACGTCTACGGCTGGTGTTGTGCCGAAGATTTGCAAAGCTGTTTTCAAGGACGATCTCGAGAGGCTTACAAAAATTTGCAAAGACGAGAATGCAGACTTGAATGCCTGTGATTACGACCGGCGGACTGCTCTGCATGCGAGTGCTGCTAAGGGAAAGCTATCATTCGTAGAAGTCTTGGTAGGTGACCGCGATGTCGTATTTGTTGATGTGTTGACCAGCCAGGCTTGCGTTTGTTACGGATATTAGACTATGTGAGAGTCCATTGTTACTGTGGCTCGCGGAGGCCTTGAAATCTCAACTCTTCTTGTCCCCCCCCTCCCCAAAACTTAGTACACACTGTGTGAAAATACACATATCCTTGTATAGATTTTCCTGTGGAAGAAATGGGGTTCGCTAAGCCGAGTATGCTGGGCACATGGTATTGAAGTATTCAACTGTCTATACAGTACCTATGTATATATGTCATTCAAAGTGAGTACTATCTACTGGAATATTCCTGTCACAGGTCGAGAATGGTGCGGTCGTCAATGCACAAGATAGATGGGGCAACACTCCGTTGGGAGATGCAGTAGAGAATGGTCATGACGAGATTGCATCGTATCTGCGCAGGCATGGAGCTAACTTCAATACTAAGGAGCTGGGTGGTATTGAGGGTCGCATGTGCGCGGCTGCCTCAGCTGGGAGATTGAGTGAGATCAAGCAGATGGTTGCAGAAGGTAATTGTGACCGTTTATGAAGTCAAATGCCATGCTTGACTGTGCCTATGTACACTCAGAAGAACAGTGCGCGTGCAGTTGTGCGCCTCGAATCGATCGGAATGTAAATTGCACTGTCAGACATCTCATGACGGTGATGTTGTTGTAACATATAAAAGCTCGTATATTGAGCCAAAAGCAATTTGTGGAAGGGTGTCATCTTTCTTCGAGTAAGAAATTCTACCGGTTACAACATCCTGACCACCTGAATAGCAAAACAGAGTTACTCTCATCTTGAAAGAGATGTATATTTGAAATTTTCAATACAACCATATTCCTCCTCAGGCGCCAATGTGAATGTGAGTGACTACGATAAGCGCACGCCTCTGCATTTGGCGGCCAGTGAAAACTTCCTAGAGATAGTCAAGTTCCTAGTGTCCTGTGGGGCTGAAATTAACGCAGAGGATCGCTGGGGTGGCACACCGTACAGCGATGCAGTGAGAAATTGCCATAGTGGCCCGGCAGGTTCGTAATGTGTTGTATATGTGGCGTATTTCGATACATTTCGTAAACAAGATCCAGGGGGTGTTCTTACTTCTCTCGAGTACTTCTTGTGTACGAAGCATCCACTGAGAGACTTCATTCCTTTGTTATTCTATTGCCTATTTTTTAATGTCATGCCATAAGTCGCAAGTATCATATTGGTCCTGGTAGTGCCAATTTGGAGAACCTAAGGTGGGGATATGAATACAATGGGTTTCAATAAGCGAAGTCTGAGAAGGTTTTATTATTACTAAAACCCGATATTGACTCCCATGACGTTGTTCAACTCCAGTAGGCCTTGCTTACCTGGGTATTCACAATGTGTTTATTGACATTCCCATCATAGGCATCCTTGAGGCGGCAGGGGGAGTCATGGGTATGCTCGGAGGCGATCTACACTGGAGGGTCAATCCAGCGGATATCCACTATCAAAAGTTAGAAGCCGAGGGATTTCAGGGAGCGACGTGGAGAGCAGAATGGTGTGGGCTCATAGTGGCTGTGAAGAAGCTCAAAGTTGTGAAGGTGCGTGTTCAGCAACAGAACAAGTTATACAAATATCAATCAAGGGGGTGATGGCATCCGCATATACACCGTGCATTTAGTGAGATGATTATTTGGCTTGTTGTGTTTGTTAAGCTTATTTGACGAATACACAAAACAAATTGTCCACGTCGATACACTAATCACATTGCTGTAGGATAACGAAACTTTGGACCCGGCAACATGGAAGCTATTCGCCAATGAGATCGATTTATTATCGCGGTTAAGGCATCCGAATCTGGTCATGTTCCTGGGTGCTTGCATTGATGTTGACAGGCCCATGCTTATTGAGGAATACATGGGCGGAGGGTCTGTGCAGGCTTTGTTGGACAAGAACAGCAAAAAGGTTGTGAAAATTAGCCCTGCCAAGGTGCTAAAATATGCGTCTGATGTGGCGTTAGGTATCAACTACCTCCATAAGCATTCACCGCAGGTATGAAGGCATTGTATAAATTATGCTGCATGAAATTCAATTTCATAACATTGTTATTAAGCTCACAAACGAATGCATCTTGTGGCCTTTCGCTTTTCGATATGGAAACTGCAGGCAACTTGGTCAAATCCCTGCACACAAATAGACAATGATCTAATATCGACA